CTGCCAAAATATTTTTGATACTAAAAAAATGTTTAAGATAAGAATTTTTTTAAATAAATGCAGTATAAATAAAATATTACGTTTTTTTTAGTGGGGAAAAAACTGGTTAAAATAATAAAAACTATGAAAATACAGTCATGAAAAAAAATTATCTTAATTTGTCTAAAAGAAAATTTATGGAAAAGATCATTTTTCGGGGAGTTAATTACTAAATACAAATAAAAATACTTTCGTTTTTCTTTTAAGTTCACCCTGACTCGGTGGGAGACGCCAGGGACGGAAAACAATATATTATTGCGTTCACTGTTGCATGAATTTATATTGGAATCTATGTAAACAACACCGTGACACTGCACAGGTGTCTTCTTAACTGAAGAACAGAGAGTAAATAAAAGTCTTTTGATACTTAGAAGCTTTATTAATGGCGTTCATTATTACTTCTTCGTTATTAATGGCGCTCATTGGTACATGTAGCTCTTCCTGGTAATTATTTGTTATTTATTCCGTTCATTTGTATTATTCTTTGGTAATATTATTTGTAATGTTTTCTTTCGTGTAAATAAAGAATCTTCACCTAATGACTGACTGTGAAAAATAACTTTAAAGTCACAACAATTACATTAAATTATAAAAAACATTTAGTGTTTAAAAGGTTTAGATTAATGGAGTTTAATTATCATATTTTTCAATTAATGGCCGAGTTAAAATAACCAGAATCTGAGTGTGAAAAAATAATTAAAAGAATGATACACATTATGAACGAGTCACAGCAAAATTATGGTAGAGGAAGATGGTGCCCGAGGTCATAGCTAACATTGTTGACAGTTCTACAGAGCAGACACTCTTGGACAGTTCTACAGAGCAGTCACTCTTGGACAGTTCTACAGAGCAGTCACTCTTGGACAGTTCTACAGAGCAGACACTCTTGGACAGTTCTACAGAGCAGTCACTCTTGGACAGTTCTACAGAGCAGTCACTCTTGGACAGTTCTACAGAGCAGTCACTCTTGGAGAGTTCTACAGAGCAGTCACTCTTGGAGAGTTCTACAGAGCAGGCACTCTTGGACAGTTCTACACAGCAGACACTCTTGGACAGTTCTACACAGCAGGCACTCTTGAGACCTGAAATTCTTCAGGTTTCTCGCAGATAAAGCGTAACGCAGCACTACATTGTTTGTTCCAGTACCTGATGGAAAAGTAGAAAAAATTATGATATGCCATTAAAGAAACTGTCCCTGTGCAAAAACATAATACCAAATCAATCTCACATTATTAATAAAGTGTAAATATGACTCATGAAATCGTAATGACACGATTGCAAACAATTGTGTTAAGATTTCTTCTAAATAGCTTTTATCATTGGCTTTAGCCTGTGGGAGAATTGGACCTGCCTGCCATGGGTCAGTAGGCCTGCTGCTGTGTTCCTTCTTTCTTATGTTCTACCTATATTGATATAACAAGTGCTGATAAACATCATTATTTTTTGACAGCCATTTAAATTGCATAAATGTTGCATGAAGTGTATTTATATTGGTAGAATTACTGTCAATATGTTAAATAAAAGGTCACAAATGTAACCAATATTTGTAAAGGCTTGATAAAGCTCCTGGAGAGCGAAACGTTGCCACAATAAAATGTCACATTAGTTGCATTTGTGTTGTTTTACTTAAGAAGTGTTGTTATACTGTTGTCGATCATATCTTAAAGAGCTCCACCTTTCTGGTTTTGTGGCTGTTATCGTTGTGTGAATTTTCCAAGAATTCTTAAGTTCTGTACGCCAAGAGTTTAACGTTATTAACTGGTTAAGGGAAATATAAACACATAAGCAGTATAATGTGATTCTTTATTGACAACATTTCGCCCATACAGTGGGCTTTATCATGTGAAATCTGTTTGTGACTTGATAAAGCTCACTGTGTGAGCGAAACGTTGTCAATAAAGGATCACATTATACTGTTTATGTGTTTATATTTCCATTGTGTCGGTATTTTATACCATTTATTTCCATTATCTGGTTAAGGAGGATACTGACTTGAGTGTGTTTGAGCAGAAATATGCACACTGATTGGGAGAGTTGCCTGGGTTTCTGCCCCACCACTTCTGTTCCATTGAGCCTCCTGTTGCTGTCCAGATCCAGCGGCCAGACTCTGTTGCTCCTGATGTCCAGTACGTTCCAGGAACTGACCAAAAATATTCTGTCAGTTATCGGACCATAATCCAAAGAAAATCAATACTGAACAACTAAATAAAACCTTGTGTAGCTTCAAAGTTAGGTTAGATAAATACATGAGTCAGAGGGGTTGGATTTAAGTGGAACTTGAATATGAGTTAATAGGTGTCCCATAGTTCAATCGCTAGCGCACTCAGCTCACACACACTGAGGTCCGGGGTTCGAATCCCCTCCGATATGGCTGAAAAACATTAGGGACGTGCTTCGATAAGACAGCTGCTGTCCCTGTCCCTGTCACCCATCAGTTTAAAATGGGTGCCTGGGTGTTAGTGGACTGGTATGGGTAGCATCCTGGGACAAAACTGACTTTATTTGCGGGATATGCTCAGCATAACAAGCGATTTTTTATATAGAAGTATGTCACTATATACTGGAATACATGTACTGGAATAAAGATATTATTATTATTATTATTATTATTATTATTATTATTATTATTATTATTATTATTATTATTATTATGGTTATCAAAGCTTATTCCTTGAGTAACATTGAAAGTGGGTTGGGAAAATATTTGTGTTAGTGAGTTAGGCTTGAGAAAGACTTGCCCAGTATGGACCAGTAGGCCTCTTGCAGTGTTCCTCTTTATATTCACATGACATTTAAAATTTTCTTAGCTTGCACGAGAATTTTGAAATCGAGAGACAGAGAGAACGAGACAAAACTCTTACAGTTATTGAACATTAAAATGGTATAAAATACCGACAGGTTGTTAGGTAACTTACAGTTATTGTTGATGTGAGACAGCAGACCGTTGTACTGGGCGTCATTCAGGACGGAGACCAACTTGGCTCCCTGACCCTGGCAGGTAGCCCGAGCGTCGTTCCAACTCTGTGTCTGCTGGGCAAACCTGTAGCAGTTTCCGGCAATATTTGTGAACCCATCTTCACATCCTAATGCCTCTGCAAAATTATCAGATAATCAGATAACTAAACCCAGTATTTCGAGGATTATCATTATTATTACCAACGTGGAACCCAAACTACTGAACATTTAGATAAATCTTTTAAGAGAGAAAAACAAGCTATTATATTCAGCAGTTAAGGTCGATGCTCCCGCATGATTACTACGAGCGAAGAGTCTTAAAGTACTAGTCAGCTACTGGTCGTTCATAAAGAACAACTATCTGAGATGCTGACGATAACTAATGTAATTTGGAGAACTTTGAACATAAGTAATGCAGATAAACATACATAAAACAACTCCTGCAAGCTCTTATGTTTTAATTAAAAGATATTTTTGCTACTTTTTTTTAACATTGGGAAAGTTTTATTTTATTTAAAACTATAAATTCCAACACCCATGAAATTCATGTTTTTTTCTCTTGTACAACTGAAAAAGAGAATTGAGTCTCGATTAATTGTTAAAAAATGAGACTTTAGGAAAACTTAGTTTATTACAAGTAATTTAATTTAGCCTAATACAGCTAAATATATTTTAGATAAGATTACAATAATTTAATAAACAAACACAATGAAAATATTTTTCTCGTTAGGTTCAAAATGATTTTTCCGAAATTATTTCATACACAAATTTTAGCTTGTCTTGTTCGGAAAGAAGAGCGTTGCTATTGAAGCCAAAATCGCAAGTTTAACCTATTCGGCACGACATATACGTACATATAAATATATATATATATAATATATATTTATATATATATATTATATATATATATATATATATATATATATATATAATTTACATATATATATATATATATATATATATATATATATATATATATATATTATATATATATATATTTATATATATATATATATATATATATATATAAGGAGTCTTTTCAGTCAAAAATAGAGGTGATTAAAAGTATGAAGACAGCAGAAGTGACGAGGTTAAATTTTGATCAGTCTAACAACGTTCATAGAGAAGTTTTGAAGGTGGTCAGTCCCTCAACCTGGAGAATAGTTCAGTCATAGTCGTGGTGTGGAAATTGTTCCAGAAAATGACTATGACTAAACTGTCCTCAAGGCTGAGGGACTGACCATCCCAAAAACTAAATCTTTAACGTTGATGGACTGATAACATCATCTTTACCTCGCCACTACTCCTGTTGTCGCCATAATTTTATACACCTCTATATTTGACTGAAGAAACCTACTGTGTAGACGATATGTTCCAACAAAAATGTCAGCCTGCTGTTTAACTACTGCTACTCCTCCTCCTACTATTATTACTACTTCTGCTACTACAACTACTCCTACTACTAAAAATAATCACAAAATACCTTCTGGTAACTCTACGTCAGTACGCTCAGCGTAGGCAGTCACTGCCAGAGCGACGATCAGCAGCACAGTTGTCGCCATGGTGTCTGGTAGGCGAGTGAGAACACTGCTCGCCTTAACCCAAACTTATATTCACAGCAGATGGAGATGCCTGCAGTCTTCAGTTAAATTATTTCTACGTTCCTACTATGATTATCGTATCATTATTGCGTATTCATAACTAGTGGATACTAATAAATTATGCTTTTAATGAGTGTATACTCATCTAGTTTATTTGTACTCATATTTATTATTGGAGAGTGCAATATTCTCTCCTAGCCTTTCCATTTAAATAAACTCTGCCGAATTTACGTAATCCTTCCATACCCTATTGAGCCCTGGCATACTATTTTTTAAATTATGTTTGAAGCCAGCCTTGAATACTTCTTCGTCCAGGTCATTCAACTTTCTGACCACCGGAGGCTGAAGATACATTTTGTTAGGTAAGACACATATGCAACACTTAGGTATCTTTATTTCGAAACGTTTCGCCTACACAGTAGGCTTCTTCAGTCGAGTACAGAAAAGTTGATAGAAGCAGAAGATACTGGAAGACGATGTTCAAGATACATTTTCTTTAATTTCCGTGTACCCGCCTCTCGAGCTGTCTAAGCCTGTCCACCCTATCAAACCCAATGAACATTTAGTACATCGTAATCTTGATCTTCGCTGGTTGTTCTGTCCTTAAGTCATCATGCTTTAAATTCTTTAACATTCGCCTCGCAGCTCATTCCTCTTTGTTCATAATCTTGTTGCATACCACTACACTTTACCGGGTAATGTTGCACGATGGTGCTGCAAGCGTATGTCGTATATACCCCGTAAATACGACTTTTTTAGGTTCTGAAGCAAAACTTTAATATACTAAACGAACGTTCGTTGCTGGCGTTTTTCGGTTGATATTTGTCACTGGCAATATTCTCATAAGTATGCACGTCCACTGGTTTCTCTCTGTTACAAATAACGCGATTCTAAAAGCTTAGAGATCTCCAGTGAATACTAGAAAGGACTTCCCTTCTAGCATCCAGCCTGTTACTGGGTTTTCGTAACAATTATTCAGTATCCTTGTCCAATTATCCATTAGAATTCAGTATGATTCAATAGTGCTTCAGGATTACAACTGGTAGGCTACTAACCTGAGAAATTAAAATTTAATAAATTTATTAAGTATCGTCTAGAGGTTATCATATTAAATTAAATTAAATTAATCACAATAATCAAAATAATAATAATCACTTCTCTCGTGTACAGTATTATTGTGCTGAAAGCACATATCACATTTATAATTCTTAAGTACCGTCTGGTACATTAACATTTAATAAGATATTACAATATGTACAAATTTGTGTGTATGTGTGTAAGTGCTCTAAATAGATCACTATGTCTCACGACTCGACTAGACTTAAACAAGTGACTGACAAAGTCCTCAAATAAACTAACTTCTTGACCAACTGGCAAACAGAACAGTCTGCTTGAACAATAAAAAGAATGCTAAGCCCAATAGCAATATAACAAACAACTGCGACACAGAATCAGGAACAAGGAGATAATATAACGACACTAAATAGGGACCATCTGCAGATCCTACACAAAAGTCACAAAACTCCCATACTACTGAATGTAAGTTCAGCATAAGAAAATCCCCGACTGTGACAATACACAGATACCAGTACAAGTTAGGTCAGAAGCTACAGCTCAGGACCTGAGTTACTCAGAGTGTCTATGCGACACACAACCTCAGTACAACGTCGAAAATCACTAAGTCTATACAATGTTCTGTGAACAGAGTCTCCAGAACTAACAACAATAATAATGAGACAGAGGCGATCTTACAACAAGGGCCTATAAGGGACATTTAGGCATTTCTTGTCTGGAATATGTCCAACCACCAAGCGAGTCTAGACCAGACTGAATACTTCAGGCGAGGTGTGGACACCCCCCCCTCGATCACGTGATAGCTCCGTGGACAGCTGCAGCTCAGCAACAGAAGCCGGCAGAGTAACGAGCCACAAGCAATAATTACAGTAGTTAGATAATCAAGACTTGAACTTTGAGCACATAATATATGTGTTACATCCTACCTAACAACATAACTAAGTCAAATAATAATATAAAGCAATATATTTACGATTTAGCTATTATCGCAAATATAAGCAATATAAAATTATATGAAAAGGTAATATACATTGTAATAATATATATATATATATATATATATATATATTATATATATATATATATATAATATAATATATATTATATATATATTATAATAATATACATTGCAGCCCATTCAGGGGTTGCAACACCCCCCCCACCCCAACACGATAAATGGTCGCACTAGGAGTTGCATTAATGTATTTCACATTATTACTGATTACTCAGGTTACTTTACTAACACAATTTAACATAAAATATAATGAGAGTCACTCTTGTGCCAAGCAATTCTATAATTTTTTAGTGTCTATATCACTAAGTTATGCCCCTAGTACTAGGGCAGTACACAGTATCGTATCTATGCATACTTGTGGTTATGTACATCAGTGTAGAGACAAGATAGCGTAGACAAGCATGGCACGTTGATGCTCGATCATTGTAGTGGAGACAGCATAATAGTCTTGTGCTATAGACAGGAGACAGCATTCCACTCTTAAGTAGTAGTTGTGGAATGCTATGCATTATGGACATCTAAGTATGAAACAACTTAAGGTGTGTAGTGATGGTGAGGGGGGGGGGTCTGCGGCAGGACAGTGTTCCGTCACGCAGTACATCGCCCACACAACATTACCCACTCAACACTCAGCTTCTGTCTCCTCCTCACATATATCACCACTACTGTAAATATATAAATATAATAATTAGACATGAGTATATATAGTTAATATGGGCTGGAGGGATTAAGTTACTGTACTGAATTTGACATAGCAAGTAACAAAAAGAATTTGGGCATAAAATTACGTAAATTTTAAATGGGGAAGTGCCCAAATACACGTCAAAATGTTCCAAGGACACCACAAGAGCTAGAGTTCCTTTCTCAATAGTGGCATAATTTTTCTGGTGTCGTTTGAGCTTAAATGAATAGTAACATATAGGATGGAGAATGTCAGTGGATGTTGACTGTTGGAGCAGCACAGCACCCACTGCATAACAACTCGCATCTATACCTGGAGTTTACCTGGAGAGAGTTCCGGGGGTCAACGCCCCCGCGGCCCGGTGTGTGACCAGGCCTCCTGGTTAATCAGAGCCTGATCAACCAGGCTGTTACTGCTGGCTGCACGCAAACCAACGTACGAGCCACAGCCCGGCTAGTCAGGAACCGACTTTAGGTGCTTGTCCAGTGCCAGCTTGAAGACTGCCAGGGGTCTGTTGGTAGTCCCCCTTATGTGTGCTGGGAGGCAGTTGAACAGTCTCGGGCCCCTGACACTTATTGTATGGTCTCTTAACGTGCTAGTGACACCCCTGCTTTTCATTGGGAGGATGTTGCATCGTCTGCCAAGTCTTTTGCTTTCGTAGTGTGTGATTTTCGTGTGCAAGTTCGGTACTAGTCCCTCTAGGATTTTCCAGGTGTATATAATCATGTATCTCTCCCGCCTGCGTTCCAGCGAATACAGGTTTAGGAACCTCAAGCGCTCCCAGTAATTGAGGTGTTTTATCTCTCCGTTATGCGCGCCGTGAAGGTTCTCTGTACATTTTCTAGGTCAGCAATTTCACCTGCCTTGAAAGGTGCTGTTAGTGTACAGCAATATTCCAGCCTAGATAGAACAAGTGACCTGAAAGAGTGTCATCATGGGCTTGGCCTCCCTAGTTTTGAAGGTTCTCATTATTCATCCTGTCATTTTTCTAGCAGATGCGATTGATTCAATGTTATGGTCTTTGAAGGCGAGATCCTCCGACATGATCACTCACAGGTCTTTGACGTTGGTGTTTCGCTCTATTTTGTGGCCAGAATTTGTTTTGCACTCTGATGAAGATTTAATTTCCTCGTGTTTACCATATCTGAGTAATTGAAATTTCTCATCGTTGAACTTCACATTGTTTTCTGCAGCCCACTGAAAGATTTGGTTGATGTCCACCTGGAGCCTTGAAGTGTCTGCAATGGAGGACACTGTAATGCAGATTCGGGCGTTATCTGCAAAGGAAGACACGGTGCTGTGGCTGACATCCTTGTCTATGTCGGATATGAGGATGAGGAACAAGATGGGAGCGAGTACTGTGCCTTGTGGAACAGAGCTTTTCACCGTAGCTGCCTCGGACTTTACTCTGTTGACGACTACTCTCTGTGTTCTGTTAGTGAGGAAATTATAGATCCATCGACCGACTTTTCCTGTTATTCCTTTAGCACGCATTTTGTGCGCTATTACTGCAGGGTCACACTTGTCGAAGGCTTTGCAAAGTCTGATATATTACATCTGCATTCTTTTTTCTTCTAGTGCATCTAGGACCTTGTCATAGTGATCCAATAGTTGGACAGACATGGAGCGACCTGTTCGAAACCATGTTGCCCTGGGTTGTGTAACTGATGGGTTTCTAGATGGGTGGTGATCTTGTTTCTTAGGACCCTTTCAAGATTTTTATGATATGGGATGTTAGTGCTATCGGTCTGTAGTTCTTTGCTGTTGCTTTCTGTCCCTTTGTGGAGTGGGGCTATGACTGTTGTTTTTAGTAACTGTGGGCGCCCCCGTGTCCATGCTCCCTCTCCATAGGATGGAAAAGGCTCGTGATAGGGGCTTCTTGCAGTTCTTGTGAACACGGAGTTCATGAGTCTGGCCCTGGGGCAGAGTGCATGGGCATGTCATTTATCGCTGTTCGAAGTCATTTTGGCGTCAGGATAACATCGGATAGGCTTGTGTTACCAAATTCTGTGGCTCTTCCATAAAAAATCATTTTGATCTTCGACTCTCAGTCTGGTTAGCGGCTTGCTAAAATGAGTATATTGGGACTTGAGTAGCTCATCATTTCCTTGCTGTCATCTGTGTAGGATCCATCTTGTTTAAGTAGGGGCCCAACACTGGACGTTGTTCTCGACTTTGATTGGCATAGGAGAAGAAATACTTTATGTTTCTT